TGGTTAGGACACGTATTGCGCATGCCCAGTTATCTACCGCACCGCACCTTATTCGTCTGATGAGTGTCTAGGGTTGCGGCTGGTTACCCTTCCCTGGCACCGCGAAATTCTTCCATACGACTAAGCGTCTGTAATAACCTCTGCTGAGGAATTCATATTCACTGCCTACTCATAGTGGAGGTGTTTTCTCATCTGGTTGAGAGAGCGAAAAGCCGACATCCGGACTATAACTGGGTTGGTGAACCACTGATAGTTCACCTAGGGGAGTTGGCCCAAAACCCTGATTCTAAACCAACCAAGGAGTGTATGAACCACACACACCTTCCTGGTGGTAATAGTGTTCATCGGCTGGATTGGGCAGCAAAGTGTATGGGATGTTTCAAATGGCCAAATAGCGTATGATCCTGAATAATGAATACTGAATACCGGCCCCCAATGGATTACGGTTTTCACACACCGCTCCGCTGCCTTGCGGGTCAGGCTGTAGCTAGCCGAAGGCTCCGGTTGTGGATTCCTCAAGAGAATTCACCTGCCTTGGCCTGGGCAACCTGGCAGTATCCAATCCTCATGCGAATCATGGAACATTTTGCTTTTTATAAAGATTAATCATAATCATCATCGTACAACGAGATACAGTGAAGCGAACTTCATTGATCGCTGCCATACTCACAATGTATACAAATCAAGTGATAAAGCACAAGATGGTGAGGGATTAGGCCTAATTAGACGGAGGCAAAGAAAGTGAACCTGTGTGGTCAACACGAAGGGTACACTAAGTGTGCATACATACCTTTTCAAACATTCTGACCTGATAAAAAATGAGAACAAGAAAGCCACTGCTGTCGGTTAGCCACTATATCCTTTAATGCCTCCAATCAGCCAGTTTCATAGTCTTTCGGAACCTAACCTGAAAGATGGAGACGCCTACTCTACCTAATGGCTCTGTGCATTTCTTCAGACCTCGCTTCCACGTCATCTGTTAACCTTCACGCGGTTTCTTCCAACCTGAAGCCGCAACTGCGAATACGTTGCGGTGAGGTAGACGATGACTAGGCATGCGCAATACGTGTCCTAACCAGCGAAGACGGCTAATCTGAATTGGATGGGACAAGGAATTCTACGTAAATATGGGTAGTTGAAAACTTCAAGACGACGACGAGCAAATTTAGGGTGTCGCAACCATAAAGCAGAACTGATCGCATATTATGCAGTATACACGACCTTTCAGTTTCAACGTTGGAGTCGCAGTAACGGTATTATATCAGTGACGTGGATCGAGCGAAGCAGCTAGTAAAACTGGAAACGTTTGACTACCTCTTGTGACTGTGCTGTATGTTGTCGGTTCCAAATTAGGAATCCTTATTTATATTTTTACATATGAATGTTTCGAAAGTGCAATACTACGGTTTCCTTTGAAACCATCGGTATTGTTTGAGTTGAATTGGCAGTCCAATTCAGCCCCGTTTTTATTTGACCGTAGCTGTGAGCATGGATTAGCCCAATCCACGAGAATATTCAAACTTGATGCATTTTAGCCTATTACGAATGTCTCCTACATAATATCAGTTCGGTGGATATCGACCTTTTGTGTGGTAACGGCTTTTGTGATCTTAAAATTACCAGTTATTTTTTTACTCTTGCAGTGGCACGGAAGATATTGTATCTCCACATGGTATTCCATTGGATCTGCTGGACCGCGTCATGATTATTCGCACACTACCATACTCTTCAGATGACGTGATTCAAATCTTGCGCATCCGAGCACAAACAGAAGGGATCAAAGTATCCGAACCAGCTTTCACTCGTCTGGCGGCTGTCGCGACCGACACCACATTGAGGTAGTGTAGAAATTCCTTAGAGTATTTCATTTTCTCCTACGTTGGTTTCGTCACTTTTCAGCAACAACCACGTGACGGTTGCGAAGTTATGAAACCCTGCATGTGTGTATATCAGTTCAGTTTGTACAACCATAACCATGCCCTACCGTGCGCCGGTTTGGGTTGCTGTCTTTTGGCTGCCCATTGGGATAAATAGTAGGAGTAAGACACATAAGGTTCAAAGTAGGATCAAAGAGAAAATTTGGAATTTGATTGCACTAATTTTTCAGAGAAATTAACAAGATGCGCGAACGTCACTGTTTACGACACTCAGCCGTACCACTCAGTGTCTCTAACCATCGGGTATAATCCTCCCGAGGTCTCCATCCAGAGAGCCTAAAGGGATCTGTGTCCCAGACTCCTGGTTGGGGTTTTCATACCCTCATGCCATGTCTTAGCTTGAACACCATGGGCTTTATTCTAGCCACTATCTGCCTCGGCAAACATCGCTCGCCGTGGCAACCTATCTGGTGACATGTGTAACACATGCCCCAACCAACGTAATCTATGGAGGTCGACCACTTATCCCAGTGGGCGACCACGGATACCCAAAACTCTGCGTCTAACCTCAGCATTGCTCATCCGGCTACCCCATCAGATTCGTGCAATGCTGCGTAGACAGCGGTGTTCAAACACCGACAGTCTGTCTTTATCTTGTTTTCTTAATGGCCAAGTTTCTGCACCGTATAGCAGAGCTGACCGAACTGTCGCGGCATACACTCTACCCTTCACAGACAGCCGGATTTCGCGACCGCGCCACAGATATCTCAAGTTAGCAAATGCCAACCGAGACTTCTGTATGCGAGCTGACATTTCATCCGTGATGCCTCCACCGGGTGAGATGTAGCTGCCCAAATAACAAAACGTATCCACCTGCTCTATTACTTCTTCAGTTAGAGTGAGGCTAGGTGCTGAACCGACCCAGTCTTGTGGTAACACTTTACGCTTTGAAAGTGCAAAATGCATATCGAACCTCGTGACACTAGCACTCAAAGTATCCAGAAAATCTTGTAACTTACTTTGATCCTCACTTAACAGCACAATGTCGTCTGCCACCTGGGAGTAAATCGATACCGCTATTCTCGCACGAGAATAGGGCTGTTTCCTAATCAGATATATACCAAAGTTAAATAGAAAAGGAGAGAGAAGACAACCCTGTCGAACACCACTTTCGGTAGTGAACTCGGACGAAAAAGTGTCGTAAGCTCGGACTCGGCCTCGGCAAATATTATAAATAGATTGTAAGATTGAATTTATCTTTTCGGGCACATCCTTCAGGGAAAGGCAGCGCCGGAGTTTAGAGCGGTCGACTGATTCGAAATCCGCTTTCAGTTCCAGGAAGATAAAAATGATGGGTCTACGAAAAGAACATCGGTACTCTAGAGTTTGGCGAAGAGTGAAGATGTGATCGATACAACCGCGACCAGGTCTAAAGCCAGCGTAGTTCTCAGGCGTGCACCGATCACGTGCGGCAGACAATCGACAGAATATAACCCCTGCGAGAAGGTTAGAGACAATGTTGATTAAACTAACTCCTCTATGGTTTTCACAAGAGAACCTGTCACCTTTCTTGTAAGTCGGTATAATGATCGATTCAGTTGGAACCTGTTCTCTCTCCCACACTGAGCCCAGGAGTTTTGTTAACCGAAACCAAGGCTGAGCCTCCGTCCTTGAAAGTAGATGGAGACAGCCCGTCTGGGTCCGAGGCCTTATACCTTACGAGGTAGCTTATTTCCCGAAAAACCTCCAAATTTTATCCTCGATTCTACTTTCAACTTTCCTGTCTTTCTCCTACTGTTCATCCAAATGGGCGGTCAACAGCAATCAACAGCGGCACACGAAAGTGCGTGGTTAATGGTTGTAAAACTGAACTGAACTGAGCCGTTTATATCGTTCTATTCTCCGAAACCACAGAGGCTTAACGAGTGACACTGGATCATCTGGTGGTTGTGATGACTCGAACCGGAATGTGCTTTATGCCGCTAACACGTAATGTATTGACTCATGACAGTCAGTTTCATTTACCTGCTCTTACCCTCTTTGGTGAACTGCTTGAAGTTATCAATTTCTTTGCCTACCTCGGCAGCTGCATCACACATAGTGGAGTAGATAAAGAGAGCCCTATGAGCTTTTGGAAGGCTCGCATGGTCTCCTCCAATTTGAGGCACTTGTGGCGCAGACACGTCATCAATGTTACCTGATCAGTTCGCGCTGTGATTTTTATCACCTCGGTAACCATTCTATTCAAACGACTGTTCGCGTTTGGTTGGGACAACATTCGAGTAATGATCAAGAGCACTAACGGTTATTTGAACCTGAAAGCCCTCTTAGAAATGATAATTTCGCTACACTGTTTACAATTAATCAGACTGGTGTTGAGAATACCTGCTTACCGGTTGCCACCAAGCGCCCTGTTCGTGTGCATCGAGCTTAGTTCGGAGAAATCTCATGAAGACCGGTTCATCACATGTCGAAGACATGTCATGTTCGTTGGGTATCTGGCGCTTCCGCTTAGTCCAAGTTCATGGACTTTTGACCGATCGATCTCTGACTAGCTTCTAAACGTGCTACGTATTCTACGATCCCATTGTTCAGCATTTTCGTGGTGCACCTGAGATTTTAGCCTATATGTTGAATTTTCGTAACCAACGGAGACATTTTGCTCAATTAAATGGTGGTGGAATGGTCGAGTTCGTCTAAAGTATTATCACATTGATCTTTATATACCGATAGCTTCCATATCCTTCATGTAAGTTTTCGCCCTAGATTCTCAACTACCATCCCTCGGGAGCGAATGTAGCTTTTCCGTTTAATGATTCTGCATCTTGGTAGACTCCTTTGATTTATGCAATGGTTTCTGCGGAATAACATGCATTTGTGGTCAATTAAATGATGCATTCCTTTCAAGTTTCCTGGCCATGAGATGTCCTGATTCCGTTTTATCACTCTCCCTTGTCCAGATACGCTGTACAACTTTTGACCCCATCCTCGAGGATTGCACAACTTGCCGGTCGTGATGAGATCGAGCCTTCAGATATCGAAGAAGTGTGCTCACTGTTCCTCAATGCGAAACAATCTGCCAAGATTCTCATGGAACACGAAAGCCAATTCATGAAATAACAGTCCAGAAATTGTAGATTTTCCGCGTTCCCTTTTTACACTGTTTCACCTGCTTGATTATATTCAAACCTATTTGTCCGGTGACACTATAATTTCGACACGTTTGATCTCGTTTTCATTCATTCCAGTTGGAAGCGGCGAATTGGTTTGCTAGCCTAATTACTCAAGAATGTTTTCGGGTTCTCGTTTCCCCAGAAAGGTTTTGTCGTATGCGGTTCGCCTGAAAATGTCGCAGCTTCTTGTCTGTGTATGCAGTAGAGACAATTTATGTAGACGTGCTCCTTCAATTGGTCTATTCTGATTTGCTTATCCCCGTTCGTGCCAATTGATGTAAGCACGAAGAAGCTGTTAGTCCTGTTTGACTTCCCGACTGTTGCTCTGGGGGTGATTAATGGCGCTTGACAGAATGTTTGAGGAGATTATAAGCGTTCATTTGCAGTGCCTTTGAGCAGACGAACAAAACAACTACTGAATGTATCGAACACGCCCAAACTACCAAACTACCTCATGGTTCAACTGCATACAATAAGGAGAAAATGAATTCACAAATCATAAATTATTCCATACTGCATTGGTCGTCGCGCAGGACAATCAGGGCCGTGCTGCCCATTGCATCGAGCGGGTTGGGTAGTGGGCTACTGATCAGATATCCAAACCTTTGTTTAGTTATTTTTCTTCCGTACCCCGCACTCCATTTGCCTGTTCTTCCGACCTGTAATAGTCTCTCAAACAACTTGGATGTCGCTCGCCTAAGGCTGTTGCCAAATAACACTGTAAGTACCACGAAATGGACTGCAGATTCTGAAGTCTCGTCAATCACTGAATCTGGGTGCCAAAAGAGCGAAAAATGCTCCAGGAGGTGAACTGAGACTGACTGGTGAAATCATCTGTGATATTTCGTTCCGAGGCATTACCACAAAAGGAACATGTTATCAGACCGATCGACTCAACCTGAATCTCCTTAGTCTTGATTGGTTCGATAAGTTCGGATTATTTAATGTTCCCGTAAACGATGTTTGTCATCAAGTCCGCAAGCAGAACGGCATCGAACGCATCAGCTCCTCGCATTTTCATACGCAGCCGGACGGTCAAGAGGAGAGATTCATAGATATGTTCAAGAGGGCACTTTAGAGATTAAAAAGGGCGCAACCCCAAAATGCGGACGAACATCTCAAAAGGGGTGTCAGGTGAAGCCTAGGCTTCTAAAAGTTCTCATGGTATGAGTCAGACATGAATTGGGATCAGTTAAGGCTGTGTGAACGTGTCGGCATTTTCTCGATTGTACTGGATACGTGGGCGTCAGAGTAAAAGTACAGAGCACAGATTTCTGGCATGTCCTCCATCGCTACCCCCGTAATCCCATTCTGGACAGATATCTATATAGTAGGCAACCTCATAAATACCACGTTTTCTTCCTTACTCGGCCACGTTTTGGTTGGCGATACCAATAAGGGCTCGCACCGTTTTCCAACTGTCTTTTTACCAGAATCGTTGGGATACGCATTGTAAGACCAGGTTCAGTCATAGTTCGGCAAGACAACAGAGAGGAAGAACTGAACAGATGAGGAAGATAGTTTTCCAAATGCTTGCCTAAGACGAGTGCGTTTGTAAGAACCCCAACTGTGCCGCGGCTTTGTAATCGTTAGAGGTCACGCACAGTAGATCGTCGACAAGAAGGAACAATAGATTGGGTGGAAGTACAGAATCTCGAAGAGCACCGAGAATCGAGGAGACTGAAAGAGGATCAAATCAACTGGGGGAAAGCTGTCACGGTTACCGAGAAATATTGAATTCCGTGTCAGATGTGATGGCGAAAATCCGATTGAGGTTAGTTTCTGCAGCACAGGAATACCAGTTGCGGTCGGTATTTCTTCAAACGGTTGTCGAGCGAAAATGAATGGTACTTACAAATAGATAGCCAGCAAAACGACCCTATCGAAGTTGACAAACGGAGGAGTCATTATGTTTTAGAACAGGTAGGATTACAACTTTTTCATGAGGCAGTAGATACGGTCCGAAGAGCGTATAGGACGATCCAATTTAGATACACACATTTTGGAGACAGTCAGGGATTCCTACTGAATAGGGTGATGTATCAAAATTAGAAGACAAAGGGGTTAGATAAAACTTTTAGACTGTAAGAAAGGAGGACAACGGTTGGTCAGGTATACAGAGGGTGGGTGGAGGGAGGGATCTTGAATTTGGTTAGACACGATAATTGGGGGAAATTAAAGATGGTCATATGAGCTGGATGCACATTGTACGGCGACCCCACCTAATATCGTACCTCATAGAAAATTGGGTAGCATGAGAAAGGTCGTGTGGTGGTCAAACCAGGTAACCTAACCGCACTCGAAGCTAATGAATATAGAGCACCATGATCAATTTGGCTGCATGCAAGTCAATCGCCGGTGATTTCAATGCTTCTATAAATGGCGTCTAATTTTTCCCAGTTGTATGTATAACTACTTCCTTTTTGTTAGTAAGAAAAACGAAATGTCAGAAAATTGATTTTGGCTCTGGAAGGCTGCACGACGAGGCAGATAGACTGACATTCCACAAACATTATTGAGACACTATGCTTTGATATAAACGCATTTGGCAGTGTCTCTTCTCATTTACAATGTTGGTGTGCACCACTACAAGCAAGCATTCGCCAGATCGACACATTTGTGAACATTCTCCCCGTTACCTAAATTCATATCAGCATCTGAATTGCATTTTAAGTTTTGTCTTCAAATTGTAATTCAGAGAAACCGTTGATTCATATGGTTTTCATAAAACAGAAAATTTCATAAAAAATTAATCCATCTAAAATCTATGGTCGGTTTCTCATACGTGGTGGTACATTGTCAGTTTCCGTTAAATTTACACCCAGATGCTTCAATTGGAACGATTTCGACTTGTAGCTGAAAAGTTTATTCCTCTGTATCAGTTACTTATCCTGTCATTATTTATTGTTCCCATTTAACCTTCTCTATTTTACTTAAGGGGTTTCTCGTCTCCTTTAACTGCATCGTATTTTCCCTGTTTCCACTGCAACTTTATCCACGAATGTTTTGTTTTCAACTTATGCGCTTTCCCGACGTTTTGCCTGAGTATTGGTAACAATTCCGGCCGTCCCTTCAACTGTGATCTATCCATATGCCGCTTATGTTATTGAAAGGTGTCTAGTTTCTGCTACTCAAGTTCGTAATTAAATGTCCATCATAATGCAACCTGGATACTTTAGGTACACACAACATTAAGAATATGTATAAGTACCTGGATAGTTTATACACCTCAGCTGACTCGGGGATTTGGTGTGAGTCCGTGCTAGAGGACTTCTGTCTTTGCATCCTTGTGCTGATCAAACTGTTCAAGGTTCCATGCGGGTATTAATTCCATGCATTCATTCGTTCTTTCTTAGTGTTATTACGCGAATAACTTCATGCCAAATATAGCCTGAATGAATTACACACTTTCGAATCGCAATAATTGCTTATTCTATTAGACTCTGCGTGATCACACAAGTTAGCTATTTATGTTTTTTTAATCTAATAAAGCGAAACTCGCTACAAGACCGATGAATCATGTATTTTTGCCTATATATAAAATCTTGTATGCAGAAGAATATTAAAAAATGTCCAGTCGTGTAGTTCCATCCCCCAGTGTACTGCGCAAAATAATTTACGGGAATAAAGGTACTGACAAGAAGATATGTGTTTTCAAGGTTGTGAAAGTCCAGTAGTCTCGGTGGGATTCGAACCCATGCATTGCCGCTACCGACGCTTTTGTACAGCGCAAAGTCTACCAGCTGAGCTACGAGGCCGCACCGATGGCACCGATCTTTTCACATTGTATTTAAACGCTGACGTGCAGTTTATACTGTTTACCCAGTATTTTCGTATCCATAAGGATTTTCTAAGCTTCGTAAATCCCCAACAGACTTCAGAATATGCATGTTGCGATTCTTAACAGTGGAAGTTGAACACCGAAAATCGGTGAGAATAACAATGAGTTACTCATATACTAAGAGTAGTATGATAAATACTATGAAGAATCTGCAGAACACCACTGGTTACTGGTCGTCGGAAAACTACGAGACTGGGAGCGCGTTTTCGTTGGGGATAGTAGAGTGTCCACTTCGGCGGTTAGACTGGAATAATTAAGCATTGATTCATCGACTAAGCAATCACCGGCGAGTAGCGATGATACCCTATGACCTGAGGGGTTTTCGTCTGACAAACACTCGACAACAAAAGCTACAAATGTGTCTGGAAAGTATCGTAACCTGTATGAGTCTCGTCCACCTACTGAAACCATTTCTGTCACTTTGCTACGTCTTGGGTAGCAGTTTATTGAACAAAGGTGACAGTTCCATGCTGTATACCAATTTTGAATGCGGCTAAGTACGACACTTAATTATGTACTCGGAATCTTCTTCATGAATTCATTTACGAAGCCGGTTAATTCTCATAGGAGAAAGTTGCCTAAAGATATTAAATGTCAAATTTGAGAATTTACTTTGTGATTGAATGTAATGAGCCTATATGCGGTGCTTATGCTTCATGATGCAAAACAAAAGCAATTTAATGAAGCCATTTGGGTTACCCATCTTTAGAGTCACTCATTATTGAATGCATTAATACGCTGTTTAACGGGGTTTCTTGTAAACCAAAAAATCTACCGGTTTCCTTGAGACCAACCTCTGGATTAAATACCTTTCATAATGATTAGCAGACAGTTACCACACTTACCGAAATATATGGGAATAGAACCCGAATACGGCACAGTTTGAGAACCGTGACCATGGGTACCTTTGTGCAGGTCTATCAACGAATCACAAACCATCGTTAATAAATCGTTTTAATTTTAATTACTGTGAACATTATAGGGCGTGATTTTTTTCTTTGTTACATACATCAGATTGCGAACTACAGGAGCATAGCTAATAGTCGATTGTGTTAGCCGGCAACCTGAATTTTGGTATTTGGTGTAGCGAAGTAAATAGCGCCCTT